TACATTTCCCAGAAGAGCATATATATTGAGAAGCCTGGGAACTTTAACGGAAGGAAGTAGATAGTGAAAGATGGAGGACTTGTGTGTGGAGAAGGCCATGCAGGACTTGAGGATCCAGGCTGGATTGGGCTGTTTCACGGAGAAGGAAAGAAGGATTGCAGACTGCTGGTATCGCTGACAAGCAGGACAGTAAAGCCTGCAGGCAGGTGGATCATAGTACTTCCATCTGCATCGCTTTTTAACAGAAGGATCAAGAGAACACGGGGACCCTCCAACAGAGAGACTACTGCTCACGCTGCAAATACTACAAACTAGTTCACTGTCCTTAAGGGTTTAACCTCTGCTGAAGGCTGCTTCCACCCCTTTCTTCAATTTTAGCCAACTCTTGCCTTATTCTTTTGTGTTAAAGAGACCTTACACAGTTTCAACACCACTCAAAATGAATCCTTCTGTTGCCGTGCCATCTTGAGGAAAACTTGCTCTTACACAAAAAAGGATCTTAACCTTAATGTGCACCAACTAGGGCCCCATCAAGCTCGAAGAAGATTTGCCACCATTCTTTAATGAGATACAAAGGGGACATTATTGCTTACAAAAAAAAAATATTAATCTCAAGCATTAAACCCAGTTCCCAGCTATTGAGAACCCAAATTGAGTTAGCCTAACATCTTGATAGTTCACTTCAGCTCACTTGGGGTGAGATATCTTAAAAGCTGGAATTGATGTTTAAATTCTGATCCTGCAGGACATTTGAGTTTACTTAAAGTGATACCGTGCTCTATTATTTTATTAAACCTTTTAGAGAGTTTAATTTCTTTGCACATCTATTGTCATTCTTTTTTTATGCTTGTACTCCCTATACTCTGACCTTAGTACTATCTGAATAATTGTTCACCTTAAACTGTGGGTTTATTTTATGATTCAAAGCCAGGGAGTCCCTCTGGTCAAGGCTTCATGGTGGTATCAGCAGGAGTGGTACTTCCAAAACAGGCTCAGAACAGACAGGGAACCCAAAATACCCAGCGGCTCTTAAGGGGGTAGAACTACACACCATTGACAGGAGCAATGTCTTATCATTGGTGACTCTTGTCAATGGTGTCATCTCCGTAAACATTCTGTAGCCTTCTGTGGATGTCGGACAGCCTGTACCCCTCCTTCATCAAGAACTCAGTGATATCACGTTCCTTCTGTTTGGAATTCATTATTTACTTGCAATGAAAAAGAAGAAGAGTTACTATAGAGAAAGAATTACTCTACCAACAGGTGAAATTTGAACGATCTATCTAAATTCATACAAAAGTTTTTTCCCCTTTTGCATTACTTTTGGTACGGCCCTCATATTTATATACAGTGTAACTCTAGTCAAAGCTTTTTTTAGTTTTAGACTAAGTGGGAAAGACCCAAAGCTCCCTCAGGTTTGTAAATTACCTGTCACCAAAATTAGGGATAATCCCACCTTTGACAGTTATCATCAGAACAGGTGTCTCTACTGGAAAAATGTGGGTATCCCTTCACTTTTTCTACCAGTGACAATCGTCACCAAGACCAATCGTGCGTCTAGATCCCATTATCAAAGGCAGTCAGCAATAAGAAGCCAAAATCAGGGAAAGCAGTTTTGACTGTAGTTCTATATTAAAGCGATACTAAAGGTTCTTATTTATTTTGTAAAATAACAAACATTTTTATACTTACCTGCTCTGTGTAGTGGTTTTGTACAGAGCAGCCTGGATCCTCCTCTTCTTGGGGCTCCCTACCGGCACTCCTGGCTCCTTCTTTTCTGTCGGGTGCTCCCAGCGGGCACCCGCTGCTCTGTTTGTCCATTCACATATGGAGCCGCAGCTTGGCCACGCCCCCTCTCTCCCTCATTGACTGACTGACTGTGAATGACAGAATCGGGAGCCAATGGCTCCCGCTTGCTATCTCAGCCGATGAGGAGGCAGAGACCCGTGACAGCTGATGCTGTCGTGACCATCAGTCACTGGCTCTCTGTTCTGCTCTCCAGGAATCAATGGTGCGCAGGGCTGTGGAGGGGGCAGGAGTGGCTGGCTCAAGTTCTCAGCGGTTCGATGAGAGGCTGAGCCAGTTGCCGGTCTAGGATTCTGGTGGGATTTTGACCATATGGTCGGGATCGTTTTAGATCCTGGACTGGCTCTGTGACATTAGCTGAAAGCAGGTTTTAGCCCACTGTTGGCTGAAAATGGGTCACAGAAGTGCAGAATGAACTGCACTGCTGTGATCCATAGGAGAAATAAGCTACAGGCTGCTTGATGGTGTATGCAGAGCCTGACTCTCATTCCTGGGGATGTCCGGAGCTGTGAAGGTGAGTGTCTTTCTCTCTGTTGCTGGGGTTGTGTATGTGTATTAGTGGAATGCTCTCTCGGATGGGGGGGCAAGGGTGTTGTGGGTCACTGTCAGGCTCTCTCCGGGGGGGTGTAGGGGATCTGGTGTTGGTTGACGTCAGGCTCTCTCCTCCGGGCAGGGGGGGGGCATCTGATTTTTGTGTTGCCTAGGGCAGCAAAAAACATACTGTAAATAAACCACTGCTTGCATGCAGGACTAGAGTTGTGTCTCCTTACACTGTGTGCATCAATGGAAACACACATTCTCATAGCCTAGGATGACAAGCACTCCCCTGCTTCTCCCCCTCCCTTCTCCAAGCTTACAGACTGGCTGGAGACTGCACTGTCCACTGTTAGCCCCTTTCCTGTGAAGACCAGAAGTTCGGGGAAGCAGCACTGAGACCGCAGGAATCAAGAGCATTGAAAGCTGTCAATTGCAGGTGCTAGGGTATGAATTCTAACAGTTTACTGGGGAATGCTTATTTGTTTGTGCTCAGTATCATACAAAAAAAACAGTCAAGGTTTAATACTACTTTAAAGTATAGTCAAAAGCTTTTTTTTTTTTTTTGTTCGATTAGAATGTAGAAGTCATATGACACTGGTGGTTTTGTAGCAGTAGAGACTGCTCACTTATGAAGTCGATATAATTTTCTAGGGAATCAGTAACTTTTCATATCAGTGGCAAGATCTACTGCTACATTTGCTCTGCATTCACTTCTATGGCTTAGCTACAAATCAGTAAAGCAAAGGGATTTGTAACAGTGAACACTAATATAATGATGTAGAATAAGTTAGACACTGTAGTCTTGAAACATTGCTTCTTAGTGACAAATCACCAGTAATTATAGCAGTTACATCGCTAGCTACAAATGGCTGTTAGCATTAGCAATTTTCAGCAGCAAATAATAACTTCTACAAAATCATCAGTGTAACATGGCCCTCAAAACCTGTCAGATTTTTCTATTGCTGTCTGTGTTCTGAAGAAAATCATCTTCTCTATTTATCCTTATGACTACTGTTACCTAGACAAAAAACATTCTGATGGGAAATCCCAAATTTTGCAGTTGTCACCAGAATAGGTGGTAAGGGGAAATTCTTTTAGTGGGAATATGCGTTTTGGTGACAACTGTCTAAGAGGGGATTTCCCCTCACCTTGTAGCCATATCAGGGGCGGACTGGACTATTTTGAGCACTTGGGCACTGCCTGAGGGCCCAGGGTCAGTAGGGGGCCCCATGAGATGCCCTTGATACATTTCACAGGCTTTTTTTGGGTGTGGTTTGAGTGTTGGCGAGGACACAGGGGCCCCATAATTTTTCCTATTGCCCGGGGGCCCCATGAGTTGTCAGTCCGCCCCTGAGCCATATACTATCATTGCCTGTTGCATACCCTTGCCATAGTTTACCCTTGCCAAGTTAGGGCTTTTGGAGTTATGGGTTACTTGCAACAAAAACCTAGCAAAATGTCATCTGTAATGCTGTCTGTGGATCTTGTTGAGTTGAGTCCAGGGGCGGACTGACCATTTGGAAACTCGGGGAATTGCCCGGGGGCCCGGGGTCAGTAAGGGGCCCATGAGATGCTCCTGGTACCTTTTTCATAGGCTTTTTTTTGAGTTTGGGCAAGGGCACAGGGGCTCCATGATCCCCTATTGCCCCATGAGTTGTCAGTCCACCCCTGGTTGAGTTCCCATGTTCTCCATGCAGAGTGGGTCTCAGAAAGCTTGTGTTTTCCATAAGGCAACATTTGCAGCAGGACCCACTTCTATGCATGGTTAATTTTTTTTAAAACATGGAGTCCTGCCTTAATTGCAGGTTTGTTGTCAGAGAGCTCACATACATGACTGCCCTGTCAGCTAAAAGTATGGATCACAAGTCTGCCTCAACAGAACTAGAAACCCTCATGCATATACAATTATTCACATATATGTTGTACAAGTGTATATTTCTGCATGCCTGGAGAACAGCTTTATAGTGTTACTAAACCCACAACAGTAAGATCAGTCTGTATATGCAGTAAAGCATGCTTGTTATACTCACTGTGGAACCTAAGGGGTTAATCCTCTGCATTGTGTAAAAATGCAGTTTGATCCTGACTTCTCTGATTCTCCCCTTCTTTCAGCGTCCCCCTCGTATCTCCTGATAAGACATATCATGTGGAGACACTCTATGCATGCTCAGTTTGGTGTGTATTGCTATTTTTTGGGAGAGTGCATGTGATCAGCACATGGCCAATCAGCACTGTTCCGACAGAGGTCAGGGGTTCTGCATCCTCCTAGAGCAGAAAGAAAAACTCCTGCTACAAGGTTTAACTACAGTAGGGCTCTGCTGAACACTGATAGAAGTCACAAGACTGCTGTGTACTGTTGATGAGAATAGGTATTTTGCAGTTTATGTTTACTAAAATAATTGCACTTCCATATTCTGTGTAATGTGGGAGATCAGATATAGTGAATGCGGGGTTCGGGGTTTAATAACACTTTAACCGCCTCCCACCCTCATATAGTGAAATGACAGGCGCAAGGCAGTTCTCTTGTTCTGGGAGGACGTCATATGATGTCGTCCCATTCTAACCGCGCATGTGTGGCTCCGGGAGTGCGCAGCACGGCGAACGGTGGTGCGGATCACCGATCAACGGAAAGAGACGAAGATGTTGGTTCGGTCATGTGATCAGCTGTGTCCAATCACAGCTGATCTCATGTAAATATGCAAATGCAGGTTATCGGCATTTCTCTCCTCACGAGTTGTCACGCTGACAGAGGAGACGAGAGGAGAGCCGGTAATCGGCATCCCTCAGAGGGGACTTCTACACTGATCATCAGGGCACTGATGATCAGTGTGTCCTCATGATCTGTAGCCCCAGCAGTGCCACCTGTCAGTGTCCATCAGTGCCAGCTGTCATTGTCCATCAATGCCACCTGCCAGTCCCCTTCAGTGCCACATCAATGCCACATATCAGTGCCTACCAGTGCACATCAATGCCACATATCAGTGCCCACCTGAGCTGCCTTTCAGTGTCACCCATCAGTGCCAGTCAGTGCCACCTATCAATGCCAGACAGTGCCACCTATCAGTGCTGCCAGTCAGTGCCACCTGTCAGTGCCGCCTATCAATGTGCATCAGTGCCGCCTATCAGTGCCCATCAGTGCTGCCTATCAGTGCCACTAAACAGTGCCAGTCAGTGCCACCTAACAGTGCCAGTCAGTGTCGCCTATCAGTGCTGCTTATCAGTGCCATATATGAGTGCTGCCTTTCAGTGCCCATCAGTGATGCCTGTCAATGCCCATCAGTGCCACCTACCAGTGCCTCCTCATCAGTGCCCATCAGTGCCACCTATCAGTGTCCATCAGTACAGCCTATCAGTGCCCATCACTGCACCCTCATTAGCGCACAACAGTGAAGGAGAAAAATCACTTATTTACTAAATTTTATAACAATAAAACTAAGAAAAAACATTTTTTTTTCAAAATTTTCAGTGGTTTTTGGTTTGTTTAAGAAAAAATAAAAAAACCCAGAGGTGACTAAATACCACCAAAATAAAGCTCTATCTGTCACAAAAAAATAATAACAATTTCATATGGGTACAGTGTTGCATGACCGCGCAATTGTCATTCAAAGTGTGACCGTGCTGAAAGCTGGAAATTGGCCTGGGCAGGAAGGGGGTATAAGTGCCCTGTAGGCTAGCGGTTAAGCTATAGTTCCCTTTAAGTGCAATGTTTGATTTAAATCCAGCAGCAAATAGAACAGTTTAATGTTCTTGCTGACCTACTAAACATAGCTCATACAGCAAAATACTCCCATAGACACAAGGCAAGCAGAGGCTTAGCTTATCTACATAGGAATGGAAGTCATAAAAAGCATTAAGCTCTTTAAGCAAATAATATTTCACTAAACCAAATTCCAAACAACAACTGTATAATTAAGCAGTGCACTTGTGGCAAGTATTAAGGCTGCAGCTCTGTGATTAACAATAAATGAAAAATGTCAGTGAAAAATAAAATTGTCATTCATCAGGAAAGGAATTTTCCTACATATTTAGCAAATGGTTACAAAGTGTGCAAGTGGTCTTAGCCACTTGCCTTCCAGAAAATTTACCCCCCCTTCCCAACCAGACCATTATTTGGGATACGGCGCTGCATTACTTTAACTGAAAATTGCGTGGTCATGCAATGCTTTACATGAATGAAATTTGAGTCATTTTTTCCCACAAATAGAGCGTTTTTTGGTGGTATTTGGTCACCTCTGCGTTTTTTATTTTTGCGTTATAAACAAAAAAAGACTGCCGATTTGGAAAAAAAAAACAATACTTTTGACTTTTTGCTTTAGAACATATCCAATAAAAAACATTTAATTTCTTCATAAATTTAAGCCAAAATGTATTCTGCTATATGTCTTTGCAAAAAAAATCCCAATAAGTGTATTCATAATTGGTTTATGTGAAAGTTATAGTGTCTACAAATGGTGGTATATATACTTGAATTTTCATCTATTTATTTTTTTATACTGTTTTTTAGACTTATAGCGGGACTGCAGGACTGCGGCAGGCATTCTGACACTGGGAACTAATTGCCACTGACATCTTCAGTGACACTAATACAGTGACCAGTACTAATAAAAAGAACTGGCAGTGTACTAATGACAGTGGGCGGAAGGCTTAACACCTGGGACAATCAAAGGGTTAACTGTGTTAGGGAGTGTTTTATTGTGTATTATGTGCTGTTTTACTAAGCTGACCTGCTGCTTTCTATCTCTCTTCTGTGCAGAGAGATAGAAAGTAGCACATCCATGCTGACAAGCGAGAGACCTATGTTGTTTACACACAGATCTCTCCCCTCTCAGTTTTGCCGACAATCACCGATTTCCGTGCGGGAATCGCCAGCCAGGACCCAGTGATTGACATTCTCAGCAGCCAATAGCAGCATGACAGGGCGGCACGTGTGCGCCCCTTACCCTGCAATGCATGTATATTTACGTGATTTTGCACAGCACAGCCTCCCTGTAGCAGTACATCTTCTATGGGGCATCTGGAAAGTGGTTAAAGTGTTACTAAACCCACAACAATAAAATCAGCCTGTATATGCAGTAAGGCATGCTTGTTATACTCAGTGTGGAACCTTAGGGGTTAATCCTCTGCATTGTGTAAAAACAATGTTTGATCCCGTCTTCTCTGATCCTCCCCTTCTTCTACTATCCCCAATCTATCTGCTGATAGAACAGAGCCTGGGGGGGGGGGTCAAGCTGCACTTGCTCAGTTTGGTGTGTATTATTAGAGAGTTTTTCATGGGAAAGTGCATTTGGTCAGCACCGGGCCAATCAGCACTGTCGATAGACAGGGTCGGTGGTTATGCAGCCTCATAGGACAATCAGGGGAGAATGAAAACTCCTCCTACAAGCTTTAACCAGTGCTCTGTTGGACACTGATAGCAGTTTATATTTACTAAAATAATTGCATTTCCATGTTGTGTGTACTGTGGGAGACCAGATAGAGTGAATGCAGGGTCCTGGGTTTAGTAACACTTTAACAGACTGCTTAGGTTGGTCATACACTGATAGATTTTGGAGCGCAGATGGACAAACTCCCCTTGTTGGACTATTGTATGCTTACAGCCAGTGGTGGCACTATTCAAATTTTAAGACCAACAGCACTGTTACTTCAGACACTTTTAGGTTCAGGTCACATTTTGCAGCGTATACTTGAATATTAATATAAGACCTCGCCCATGCTGCAGTAAAGTTCTACTTTAGGATTCAGAACGTAATCAATTATTCAAGAAAGACGGTGATCTCTATACATAATTAGCTATAACAGCATTGCATATTCATATAAGAGGAAATATAACCATACATAGTTGCAAAAGTAAGTATCCTTTAAAAAATATCACCAGTCTAAAAAGGCAAAATGTTGCATTTGTTTTAATTTAAATGAAAATATTGACTATGGAGACTATGATTTTTAATTCTTGATAAAAGAAGGCATGACTGCCCCCCCCCCCCAATCTAGACACTACCAGGACACCAAGCATTGGAGCTTCTATCAGTAACCAGAAACCAGCGCTCACATCTCTCTTGCTGCACTCAAAATATGGAATCCAGTTGGAGGTGCCGCCCTTGGTAGATCTGGGAATATTGATACTAGCAGCAAAAATCATGCATTACCATGATAATATGAAATTTATTAAAAAAACAAATGTATACTCACAAGCCAAAAAAATCATAAAAACAGAGACAAGCCAGTCGTGGACAGCATAAGTCCTCGGGTAAATTGCTAACACGTTTCGGGAGTCGAACTCCCTTCCTCAGAGCAATAGATGAAAACACAATGCATAAGAAAGATTCTTATATATAGGACTAAATCAAAGTGAGAACCACGGCCACTCCACCTTTGTGCAAAAAGGGGGCAGGATCCTGCAAGTAATGCCCAAAAAAAGGCGGGAGGTCCCCAAACATATAGCGAGTAACTTTTTTAAGTGAGAGACTTTGACTGTAATGTGGCAATCAATAAATAATCAATAAACCTAGAAAAAGCAATAGCAATGGTAAGGGCAAAAAATAGCAACAAATGGCAATAAAAAGTGCTTACCAGATGGACTGATCTAGAACGCATGGGAAATAATCTATTATGAATGAGCATAAATGTAACATTAGGTTTGTGCTTAATTTTTTTTTTTTAACGGTTTTGTCATTTAAAGGAGCTCATCGATCTTTTTGCATTTTATATATATTACCATTGCTATTGCTATTTCTAAGTTTATACGTTTATTGATTATTTATTGATTGCCACATTACAGTCAAAGTCTCTCACTTGGAAAAGTTACTCACTATATGTTTGGGGACGCCCCCCCCCCCCATTTTTTGGGCGTTACTTGCTGGATCCCGCCCCCCCCCCTTTTTGCATAGAGGGGGAGTGGCCAGGGTTCTCACTTCCATTTAGTCCTATATATAAGAATCTTTCTTATGAATTGTGTTCTCATCTATTGCTCTGAGAAAGGGAGTTTGACTCCCGAAACGTGTTAGCACATTACCCGAGGACTTATAATGTCCACGACTGGCATCCTTTGACTCCTTGTCTCTGTTTTTATCATTTTTTTTGGCTTGTGAGTTTGCATTTGTTTTTTTAATAAATGTCATATTATCACGGTAATGCACGAGTAGAGTGCACCCTGTTTTGTTCTTTTCTGCTTATGTGAGCTTCTATCCACATAGTAAAAGGGTAGCAAGTGTGGCACATTGATATTAGCTCACAAGCCTTTCAACACTGAAATGGTATTTCAAAAAAGCATTGGCTCAGTGCTGAGGGACTAATGCTTTTTAGCCCCACCATTATCTCAAGAAGTAATGATGGCATGGGAGACTAGACTAGAAGCACTGGGAAGAAGACACTATGACACTAAGGTCTATGAAGGCTTATTGCACAGATGCAGCCAGTGGTAAACAGAATTTTGATTGAAGAGGATAAAAATAAGAAGCACTGAAGTATTGAGATAAGTAAGCAGCTGGAGTAGTGGGTTTAGTGTAGTTTAGCTCAGATCTAGGTATGTGCACTTTGTCTGAAATTACATTTGATCTTTAAATGACCAGTGAATCTATAACAGATGTGCCTACTGCTGAACATTGCCTCTATCTGTATTGATATAGACTTCCAGATGCCAAGGACATTGCCATACCCTGGCACCTTACCCCCAGAACTCCAGTAAAGTGCCCCAAGTCTCAAGCTTGTGCCACAGCTTCCTAAGGTGGGTACTCGTGCATAAAGACATCCTTGTGTACTCTTCAACCTCTATTAAAGAGTATTAAAAGCTTCTTGTTTGGAGTTAATGATCAAATAGCAGGAAGACAAAATGTCTCTTTACCTATGGGATAAATACTCAGGGTACTAATGAAGAAAAAAGGAAACTGTAGAAAAAAAGTGAGAGAGAAAACAATGAGAACACAAAGGAACATGAGCCCTGTTCACTGTGGCACTTTGCAACTTTTCTCCATCACTGTCCTCAAAGGTGTTCTGATTAAGAAGGCCATTTGAAATCCCTGAAACCTATTGGTATTTTACTGTATTTACTCTATACAAAAATAGATGAGCTTGATTTGCATATAATACTTTTTGAACTGGTAATAGATGAATCAGAGTGACTTG